GTGTTTCTGGAATCTTTGTTTTCCTACAAGCTGGTTTGTGAGCTAGAAAGAAAAATCCACATTTATAAAGTTTACTTTTTCTGCCTTAAGAGGTTTTCACAACACTTTCATCCTCAAGAACTCAATTTTTCAGACCAGCACACAGCTAGTTTCAACAGTTGGTGTTTTTCTCTTTCGTGTTCAATGTTTTTAATGGATGACTTTTTTGGGGTGTGTGTGTTGTTGTTTATCCTCTGGCTGCTGTTTGTCATTTATTATTTGCAAAGAATGTTCATTAAAAATGTCCTTGTTAGAGAAGTTGGAGAATAAACCTAGAGGCAACTGCAGGAGGCAAAGACAGGCATGTGAGACTTCACACTATATAGAATTACCAGAGCAAAAACAGCCCAGTAAATGAACCAATGAACCAGTAAACAAATATATTAAGTATCAGTTCAATCTCTCCCTCTCTTTTAGTCTCTGCGGGGCAGAACAAATGACTGTGAATGAACAATTCACCTGAAGAATGTTGGAAAAAATGATATTTCAGCAAAGTTTCTTTAAAAAGATGCTTTAAAAGAAAACGAATGTCACAACATGGATTTATTTAAAAGTACATTTAAATGTTCGTCTATAAAAAATATACAAAGAGGATTTTTCCCTGTATTAAATTTGTCATGTCCAAGACAAATGGAATAATGTTCAGAATCACCTGTGTTTGGGACCCACCACAGTGTGCAGTGTGCAACCAAGAACCCAGGTTGCATGTGGGGGATGAACTGATAAGTGAAATTTACCAAGATGCTAACCCCAACTCGTCGCGGCAGATGGCCCCGCCCCTCCCTGAGCCTGGTTCTGTGTTTGCTTGCTCATAGGGGGTCATATGATTGCTTTACAATATGAAGCGCCTTGAGGCGACTGTTGATGCGATTTGACACTGTATAAATAAAATTGTATTTAATTTAATTATATCCTAATTCATAAGAATTATTTTGGATTGTGATTCATGCAAAGCTACTGAGATAGCAGACAGCATTAAGATTATTATAACAATCCTAAACACTGTATTTA